CTCCAGACCAATCAAGCTGCAACTGGCAAACCAGGGTCCTCCTGATTCTCCATCTCCTGGAAGCACATCACTGGTAGTGGCAGATCAGGACATGGGATAACCAAGCTAGGGATCTCTTCATTAACCTTATCTTTCCCCTTTCCCAAAGCATCTATGCAAAAAATACTCCATTTGACACAGCTGTTTTTCACAGGGCTGAGAGCCACACTGAGGCACAGATCATCCCTTTTTGGTTCTACTTCCACTGAGGGGCCCTGGGAACTGGGCAGGGAGACAGCAAACTTTCAAAACCCAAGCTGTGAAGGAGCAAGAACACTCCTAAAATGTCCTTTCTAAAAGGGAGCCTCCCTTTTGAGTTTAAAATGCTATCTTTGTTACCACCCTCGGTAACCTCTCTAGCAAAGAGCTGAATGTTATTAGAAAAGAGCTGAGTATGGGTGGGTAGACAAGAAAACAAAAGGAAATGGAAGTGCTGGAAATTGATTTTCCATTTGAATCTATTCTTTTTTCTTATTATTTTAAATAAGATTTTATAAGTTTATTGCATTGCTTTCTATTTTCTTTCAGGGTGTATTATCTTTTGTGACTATGTTTTGACTAAAATAAACCTAAGTTACTAATTAAGGATAGAAATGGAAACCCAAAGATTTACTTCTCATCAATGCCAAGAGGTAAATCCTTTAATGCTCTGGGATTTTGCTCTATAGCTCTAAATTTCCCATTGGTATTTAGTAATCTGCTGATTGCCTTTACTTTCATTCTTTAGCCTTCAGAGTTTTCATGTTAAGGCGCTCACAGTAGCTCTGCGTGTTAAGGGCAATGAGTTAAAAGATATAGTTTTTTTTAATGAAATTCCAGCTTTGTTTTTTCTATTGAGTTCCCAACTACTGTGTTATATCATACTAATAAGAGTTGTACTCTGGCTGGACAATCCGTAAAGTATTGCAGAGTCCTATGGGAGCCATGACATCATTTTCAATTTGCTTATCTGAAGTCCTCCAAAATAGCAGGGTGACTGGTGAGCAATTGAATTGCATTTTCACTAAAACCAACTCACCTCTTCCTGCTATGATGTTATGGGAACTGTGTCACTGTGCAGTTTACACCCAATAGCTACTCCCTGGAGGCCTCGGATGCACCTTTCTCTATCACCTCTCAAGTGAATGTAGGTGTTTAGTGACCCATAAGCCTGTCTTTCCATTCCCAAGGGCTAAGCAACAGCAATTGTGAAAGAAAGGACACCACTTCCTTTAATGTATGCCCCTCAAGGCCTGCAGGCTTAGAGGCACCAAGGAAATATTCCAGGCAGTTTTGTGATAGGGTCTCACAACCTACTTGACACTGGGACCAAGAACAGAGACTGGTGAAACGACCTGGAGCAGCTTGGGTACCTCTGGCCATGTTTGGACTGCATTAACTCAAGAAGACTTCTATTTTTAATTTTTCCTCATTCTGGATAATATTGAAAAAGATGTTCTGTTTATGGTGAGCTGAAGAAAGACCTCATGACAGAGCTGGTTTAACCTTTGCTGTGGGCTCTTCTTTGCTTATGGAATAAAGACTGGAGGTAGGAATTTTAAAATTAGAGAAAGACTAGGACATTTTCCATTTTACTCATTATCATTCTAAACATATTGTTTGTATACAGAGAATCTTGGAAAAACTGTTACGAAATTATCAAGTGCTTTTTTAATTTAACCCAAACTTTTAACATTTTCTATAACTATGTCCATACCTCTCTTAGAAAAGATAATCTGGTCACTAAGTTTTTAGTAGATTTCTAACACTCAAGTGAAATATTTTATTTTCCCTAGCTAAGGGTCCGTCCATGCTGCCTACTCTTGATTTGCAATGAGCACCTTTCAAAGCAAGAAGGCAATGCCATTTTTCACAACGCCATAGTTGTCATTTACCTACTTATTGCTCTTATACCAAAGAATCATTTATGCACTAAAACTTGTACTTGCATTTTCTCGCAACAAGAGTACATATTTAACTGCTCCCTGCTCAATCCAGCATCTCATGTAAAGACCTGCCCTCATCCCCCAGCCAGGATGCACTGGTGCAATTTTAAGCATTGGTTCTCAGAATCGGGGAAGTTTAACCCTTTCTAGCAATTTGGGTTAACTAGATTTGAAGAAGAGATCTAAAGCTGCATGTTCTAAGTAATTATAGAATCATAGAATTATAGAATGGTTAGGGTTGGAAAGGACCTTAAGATAATCAAGTTCCAACTCCCCTGCCATGGGCAGGGACACCTAGCTCTAAACCATGTCACCCAAGGCCTCGTCGAACCTGGCCTTGAACACTGCCAGGGATGGAGCATTCACAACTTCCTTGGGCAACCTATTCCAGTGCCTCACCACCCTAACAGAAAAGAATTTCCTCCTTATATCCAATCTAAACTTCCCCTGTTTAAGTTTTAACGCATTATCCCTTGTCCTACCACTACAATCCCTAATAAAGAGTTCATCCCCAGCATCCCTATATGCCCCTTCAGATACTGGAAGGCTGCTATGAGGTCTCCACGCAGCCTTCTCTTCTCCAGGCTGAACAGTCCCAACTTTCTCAGCTGATCTTCATATGGGAGGTGCTCCAGTCCCCTGATCATTCTCATGGCCCTCCTCTGGACTTGTTCCAACAGATCCATGTCCTTTTTATGTTGAGGACACCAGAACTACACACAATACTCCAAGTGAGGTCTCACAAGAGCAGAATAAAGGGGCAGGATCACCTCCTTCGACCTGCTGGTGACACTCCCTTTGATGCAGCCCAGGCTAGGGTTGGCTTTCTGGGCTGCAAGCGCACGCTGCCGGCTCATGTTCACTTGGGAAAACAAAATCACCTAGGCAGCTTTCAGTAAAACCAATGCCATAATCTCCCAGCACCTGAAACAGCTGACTTGACAGTACAAATAAGTGCAGACCAAAGGCTCTAGCTCCCTGCAGTGGGGACGACATAACTGCATGAGGAAGACCTGTTTACATCATCGAGATAACCTGTTTCTTTAAAAATAGCAAGGTCAGGGAGGCAATAAAGCTGTCAGCATGGCAATCAGTGGTGATTGTGTTCCACCAGCCACAGGGTGGTGGGGACACTCACCAGGCTGGGGACCAGAACAGGGGCTACACAATGAGGATGGCCACATTTGAGTAAACAAACTTATAGCAATACCAGAGTGCTATTGTCTGCTGAACAGCTCTATTTGTGCCAATGATATTTCCAGGTTAGCTCCTCCTAGGCCCATAAAAACCTTCATTTCACTCTTTTTGCTGTTTTTTTCTTTTTTTTTTTTTTTTTTCTTCTCAACGCAATGATGGATAGAGTGTCCATAAAACCTCAGGGCACCATGTACGAAATCCCCAAGCCCTGAGTCAGGTGTGGAGCAAATGGTCACCGAGCAGGCTTCCACCTAGTCCAAGATTTGGCTCACATATGTCTATTTTCTGGTCACTGGGGTGCTTCACTCTTTGTTCACTGTGTAAATGAGCATCTGACCGTGGGAATATTTCATACTGAAGTCCAGGCCAAGAATGGAAAGCCATCAGATCTATTCAGCCAAGTAGCCTCATGAGGCACTCACACACTCCAGGTGGGAGCAGAGCCCAATATTTTTATTGTGCTAAGAGTATATATTCTCAGAAAGGAAGATCTTGTGTAGGGTTCACATCCTGTTAGAGCATCGGATATGCTCCAGCTATTGCTGTTTCCCTTTGGATACCATGTCCCTTAGCTGAGTCTCCATTTTAAATGCCCCTGGACAATAAGTTACAGTGATTTATCTTGGGGAGAACTTTTCCACATGAGTGTTTTGGGTCAAACTGAACAGTATTGATACTGATTATATATGAGCAAAATAGTGTTTAAGAATAAAATATTTCTTGGTGTACCCAAAGTGAAACATAGACTTGTGCCACTGATACTACACAGCAAGGCTTTGCCTGTTAAATTAGGCAAGACACCAAGTCTTCACCAAATTTTGGGGAAATTTTTGATTTTCAATTAAGTTGTCAGCTTAAAACACCAGGGTTTGATTTCAGAGATGAGAAAGTCCAAAAAAGGGCATTATCTTCACGTGAATGAAATCTGGTTGAAGTTAGTGCAGATGCCATTGCCTTGCAGAGTTTTCCCTTCCTTTGGTGATGGCTCAGCATTGCATTCAGAATAGCTCAATGTAGTTTTAATCTAAAATTCCTGACAATTGCACCCATCTTCTCTCATCCTGACCAAAACCAAACGGATGAAATAAACCAATGTGGAAGTGAAGATTCAATTCCAAACTTCCATCACTGTTTAAAAGGGTTAGAGGTGGGATGTGATTCTGAGCAATTGAATGGGATAAAATTGTGGTTGACCACAAAATTTAGTTGCAACTCCAACAGAACTTTTAAAGAGCTTTACATACCTGTGCTGCTTTGCATAATATTTTTGTGTGTCATCACATTTACTGATTTTGACAGGGGTCATAAACAGACATACAGTGAGACAAGGCTATTTCCATGGACTATTTTTGTTCTGCACTGGGGAAAGTAAGGGAGAGAAAAGAAAATCTGTTTATGTATGTTTTCCAGCTCAAAAAGACATCAGAAAAAAATTATGTGAGTGCTTTTATAAATGGAATAGCTCATCAAAGCTTGCCTGTCACCAGATCCTAGCTACCTGTTAGCGTTACAACTAATTACATTGATTCTCCATAGATGAGATGGATTTCTAAAGCAATGAAGGAATTTAAACAGAATGATTTTTCAGTTTTGGTTCTATTTACAGACTGTGGTATGTCAATTTGAAGAAAAGCCAGAATCTGAAACTGAAACGCCAGTGTTTTCTTCTTGCTATAATTGGAATGTTTCAATACAAGATTCCAATGTTTGAAGGTGTTCATTGCAAGGTTTTGGTCCTTTCCCATGAAGTCTCAATGCTGATGTACAAAGTATTAAATTCAATGTTGGCTGCCTCCCTCTTCTATTGAGCTCAACCAGGATTCTATTCTTTGATTTCAGGCAAAGCACAATCAGGCCAATGCTAAACTCTTCTGGCTGTCCAAAAGATGCCGTGGTCCAGATAACCTGCTCTGGATCTGCAGGCTGTGCTTTGCAGGTATTACTGGCCTTTCCTGAGTCATCAGTAAAGTGTAACCTTGACTGAAAAGAGAAGTTATCTTTCTTGGTTGAACAAGTTAGCAATGTTGACCTGAAACACTTGCTATTTAGTGCTTCTTTGGTGCAACCTGTTTAGAAGCAAGTTGAATAATGACAAATTTTTTGAGGATAAAAAAAAATCCTTAATGAAGAGATGGGTTTGGCCTACACCTCCTTTGCCTCGGGGACTGGGTGTGAAGTGAAGAAGCTCATCATCCATGGGTTTGCCATGCTATCTGTAAGGGTGTGAGAATTGTGTTTGTACCTCTGCCAAGCTGTTCCCTGCTGGTCTTTAAGAAACCAGCTTGCAAAAAGATCTTTCCTGCAGAGTGTTGCAAGGACTGTCTTGAATTTAGCTTCAGGAAAAGGTTTTTTTTTTTTTTTTTTTTTTTTTTTAATCTGGTTTGCTTTACAGTATTTAAAAACCCCAATAATCACACATTTGTGTTGCATGGGGCAGAAGATCTACATCACCTACAGTGATGGTGATCTGGGTGGCAATTATTAAGCACTAGAGCAACACATCATCATTATTTCAAATCCATTCTTTCATCCAATGCAACAGCAATATATTCTGGACAACGGATTTTGGAAAAGTTGAAATGTTTGCTTTACAAAACAGACATAAAGTTTCTCCTTCAAGGTGCTAAATTTGTGCTGAGCTGGTCCAAAACACGACTGCATCTGGCTATGTCTCATGTCTGCTACTAAAAAAATGTCCTAAATTCCAGACAACCTCTGGGGCTTTGAAATAAAACTCATTAATCCTGCATTTGAATTTAATATTTGAAATTTTATCCTAATCTTTTTTTCTTCCACATGAATTAACTTTAGAAAACTTGGAAACGAACACAGGGGTGGTTTTTTTTTTTCTTAGGTTGGGGTTTTTTCTTTTAGAGAGAGAGAGAGGGAGAGCATTCTTAACAAAGGGTATAAAATTAAACTAGATTTGACCTCTGCCTTTAGCAGATTTTCCACCTGGTCTGTGCAGGAAATCAACTTCTATATAGCAGCTCTTTCATAAGGAATAACATACATGAGTCTGTAAGTGACAGTTTTTCTTGGGTGGACAACAATGTTAGTTACATTTTATGATTAATTGATAAATGTTTTGATATGGTGCCTGGGCTCTGAGTCAAAAATCACTCTAGTTAGATGATCCAACACTTGGGAAGCTGAGCCAATTACGGCTCAGGCACAGTGAAAACAATTCTAAAATATTTGAGACTAAAAATGTGCATAGTTGTTAAGGAATCTTGCACGTGGGTGTATGGTGGTATCCTGAATTACAACTGCTTGGTGGGCCAATATCTTGAGGAATGCGGAGAAATGCAGAGATTCAAGACTCTTGCATCTATATTTCAAAAGACTTGGGAAAACAGAAGAACCACATGGACTCTTGTGGCTGGGCACGTGCTGAGGAAAACCAGACCATGGGCCAAAATGTACTTTTAGTCCCTTGGGTTAAGCAAATCCCTTTGATTTTTGGGGAAGGCTTTAGGTTTCAAGTCTCCTTCCCTTGACTCCTAACTGGCTCCTCTAGGCTTGCTCTTTTCCCTTTCAGGCTCCAGAACTTACTCTCTACACCAGGCTTCCTAACTTGTCCTCAGACTCACACCCACACTCTAAATCCTAATGTTTTTCTAAATGATGTACAAGAAGTAGGACTTCATCATGCCTGTGGCTATAGACCAGATTACCACTACCAGTGGGATAGCCTGGACGTAGAGGCTGTGGGCGCAGCCCAGCATTGGTGTGAACCTACTTTAGACACAGCTGCTCTTTGTAATGAAGGTCCTCTAAAAGAACAACTTACCTTGTGATTAGGGGCTGCTTTCTCACATTATTAAGAGAACGAAAAAACAGTCCATATTTTTCTTTCCACAGGCAAGTGAATATGGAGACATTTTTTGGGTAGGATTTTGGGGTCATCAACTCAAAAGTCCATTTGGAAAATTCCTTATTGTAGGTTGCTAATGACTTTGCATATGACACACTGCCAGCTGTTCCCAACAAAGTCAGTGGAAACAACATATCTGTCTTCTGGTTCCTCAGCCTTCAAAACCTAAAATATTACATGGAGGTTTTGAGGGATGCATGCTTGGGTTTCAGTGCTGCCACACATCTGGAAACTGGGAAGAAAACTCCGCACATCAGAAATCCTAGTGGTTGTTAGCTGTTTAACATAGACCTCTGCATTCTTCATGCAACGATCTGATCCTAACCCCAAACATTTTGTTGTCTTCAGTGGATTTTTATTCCAAGGTCAAGACCAGGCATCACTTCAATATCTAATGGATATAGTTACTCGTGGGAGCTATTTTATATCACTAAGGCCATAAACCCCTGAAGGGTGTACATTTGGACAGCTATTGATGATGTTCAAATAAACTTAGATCTATATATTACTCCACCTTTTTATGACACTTGGCTCTTGATGTACTGCTGTATCTGCAGAAAGTGGTAAGGAGAACAAAAGAACATACATTCACATGGAAGAACATCTTTCTTATCCTTGTTTTATGGTGAAGATCCATAAAGAAGGATGTTTATTCTAGTCTGCTAAGTGCTCAAAAATGCAACTTTTCCAGTAATTCCTTTATTTCAGGCACCATTTGTATGGTATTGCACCCTCTTCTGACCCTCCCTCCATCTTTGACACTGTTTTGATCATGGCTCTTGGATCTAAACACACTTTATTTAACACTGAAGGATTTCTTCGTTGCTGATATGACAGGCAAATTTCTAACAGCATACTGTAAGCATTTCTGTTCATGACTTCTTAATCATGCAGATTTTATTTCATGTTAAGCTAGCAACTGAACTCTTCTAATAAACAGAGTAAAATCTAATTAGGCTACTGAAGGGGAACAGAAGAACTTACACTCCTCCAGACTCACAAGCATTAGGAATTCTTCCTCAAACATACACACAGGCTTCCTGGCAGCAGTCTCATTCAGAAAGTGGCTAATGATCATCATAATTTGCACTTAGCTGATACTGCTCGGAGTTCCTTGCAGATGGAAAATATACTTCTTTCATGAGATCATACAGGGTAGCTTGGCCCTGTGGATTGTGCATAGAGAAAAAGAAATCCTAATTTCTAATCCCAAGGCTCACACTGCTTGCTGTGTGGTCTCTCTTCCTCTCTAAGTTTCTCCATGCACAATCTTACTTATCCGGCTCATTCATGGGATTCTGATGATTACTCAGTCATTTGGCTGTAATGTGTTTTGAAAGCAAAAGGCACAATTAAAACACTGTGATTAGAGACTCAATGGCACCTCCAAAATAAATGTATGAGAGATTGACATCAAAGATTAATTTGGCTGATTTCTTGTCTTCATTGGTCCCATAATTATTTCAAATGTTGCTGGCCAGAGAGCTCAGAAAATGGCAAAGCTTTTCCCCATCCAACCTCAGGGGAAGCAGACCCCCACGCAAGGGGGCACGTCTCCCCATACAGAGGCCATACAGCCAGACTACGTCCAAGATGTCAGGGATATCTCCATGCACACAATGTTTCCTGGCTTACAGACCCATGGTTCATCCAGAGATTATGCCAGCTGAAGGTGTTACTCTTTACAACCAAAACCATCTCATCTAGCCAACAGGCTCAAGCTTGGGATTGATGCATCCTGCAAGGGGCAGAAAGTCCCCCAGCAAGTTTCCTTACAGTTCCCTGCAAAGGACAACCCAGATGTCCCTCAGCAGCCCCAGCCTCAACACTAGGAATGGTAAGATATAAAGCCAGAACTGGCTGTACAAGTGTGAGCACCATGAAGCCAACTCAAGACATACAGAACACTGAGAATCTGTGCTTGAGGCTTTTCCCTGAGTCTGCCCATTTTCCAGTAGCCTTTCTTCTGCTGGAGAGCTGTCATCTCCTTTTCCAAGACTGTTTAGCTCTTCCTATGTTGCTTGTCAGGGTAGTTCGTATAAACCCATTAGTCATTCCTTGGGTTTGAATGAAGTGCAGGGAGAGAATAAGACTGGAATAAAAGATGGGGTTTATTTATAAGTAAATAGAACCTGACCCAGCCCCTGGCAACCTCAAGAGACATGTTTCTATCGAGTGCAATAAGGCAGGGTGCCAACCAGCTCTGGTCCCCTGGAGGCAACTGGTTCAGGAAGGATTCAAGTCCTACTGAGTGTAGGTTTCTTCAGGGAAGGGTGTAGCCACAGGATTGGGAGGAGAAGACCTGTGTGCTTCTATTTCAGATTTTGAATAATCATTTAGAAACAAAACAAGCAAAAAAACCCCAACACTAAACAAAAACCCCAAGAAACAACCCTCCTGCAGTGGGCTGGAGCTGATATATCTTCTCATAATACAAAGAGGTTTTGTGAAATGGAATCACTGGCATGAAACCTGGAGGCATTGCTTAGTTTTAACTTATACTTTATCCAGGCAAAACTCCAGTTGATGTGCGAGAGCGCCGGGTCATATTAGGATTTGGCCCACAAGGGCAGAGGAGAGCCAAGCTCAGAATGTCACATAAACATATTAGCTAGAGACTTGGCTTTCTCTGAGGTCCCAGGGTGGAATAGGACCACAGTCTAGTCTTCTGTGACGCATACAAGGAAGTTAAATCTGCCCTGCATGGAGTGCTAAGGGAACAGGATCCAAGCATCTGCACAAGCATCCGTACCATCTCTTCCTCTTCCTGAAACATCTAGATTGTGTGACAGGTAGAAACAGAGCTAGACCGCTTAAACTGTTTTGTGGGGGGTGAAAAACTATTAGAAATCAAACCACCAGCTGTTCATGCTGAAGTTGAAAGCGTGTTCTTTCTAGTGATGAGATATGAAGAGGGCATATTGTTAATTTAAAGCACACTCTATAGCTTTTTGCAGGAGCAAAGTATTTTTGAAAGTTTACAGCTGTAGTAGAAATTCCCTGGAGCTTAGGAGTCAGTTTTCTGCCAATCAGAAAGCTGAAGGCACTCTGGTTTGGGC